CCCTGTGCGTGTGCAAGGAGGGACCTTTCTTCTATGTATGCAGTCCCTCCTCTCTCTCACACATGTGCGGTGTACGATGGGGTGTTGCGTCAGTATCTGACAGATCAGATCATATCTTGAGTCTTCCGCTGTGCTCCATTGTGCTATTTCGTATGTATCTGGATGTGCATTGCTTGTTGGTGCTTGGCTGACGCTGCATTGCCCATACGAGTCCATTTCATCACTTTGCGGATCCTTGGCTCCCCCCTACATCGCCAGATTGGGCATGCTTCATCCTACCCAAGCTCCTCCACCATAGCTAAGGTGGAGAGCTGGGCGCTCCTCTCTGCCTCAGCGCTAGACACAGCATTGGTCCACCATGCGCTCCAGCAGCGTGACGCCCGAACGCCTGACGCCCGACCTTGCACGCAGCAAATGAGGAGCTCTTTGCTCCTCCTGGAGTTGTAGCGGCCAACCTGCCTCTTGGGCGTTGACTTCCAAGCCACATGGCCTCCTAGCAACCGGCACTTCCTCCCTTTTAGAGGGAACATCATTGCAGACTCTGATGCCCTTGACTCAGACCACTCGGACTGGTGCCCGCCTAGACCTAGCCTACCGCTACTGGGCCTCTAAAAATGCCAACTTTTGTCTTCTGCTCGGCCTACCGCCGCTCAAGTACCATTGGGCCTACACTACCGTTACTCGAGTGTGCCCTAAGCTACCCCTTCGACCACTTGAGTGTTTTTCCCCGCTGCAACCCCAAAGTCACGGCCACAGGTAAGTACCGGCCCCGCAGGCGTCCCAAGCACACAAGTACCTTGGTGGGTCACATACACTGAAGCACTCAGGCACTAAGCAAAACACACAGAAACCAGCAAACATGCTCGCACGCGGACTTAGAAATCTCACCAAAAAGCAGGAATCTCAGCAAGGCATACATTCCAGCGGCAGAACTCAGAAATCAGCAGTTTTCTCAGTTGCGATTTTGCAGGTTGTTACACTTGTCAGAAACAGCCCATGCAGAGGTCTTGCAGAGGTCAGGATCATCTGAAAGACTGAAAGGTTATTTTGCACATTTCAAATGGAGCCCAAATCCGATATTTTTCCGACAAATGTGTTTGACGAAACCTGAATCGATGGGACATGGAACGCGAAACTGAGCACGTCGCATAGCCTTGCTCCACTACGCACCAAATGTGGAAAATGAGAATGAATCTGCCCCTAGAAATTGGAAAGATATATATTTTTTCATTTTTTTGTCTTTTGTGCATGTGGAGAGTAGTGGAGCGAGGCCCATGAAGTAGACTTCCTCCAACTTTGTATTTTGGAAGCATAAACAGTGTATTGAACTGCAGTTGTATTTGAGCTCCAAAGGGGGTAGTGTGTTTATTTGGGTTAGGGGCCATGCCTCGTGAACCTTCGCAACTTTCCTTTTAGCGACACACTGTCAGGTGAGCCCCCTGAACTTGTAAGTTGCAACCCTTGCTCTTATCTTCAGGATGCTGCATGAACCCCCTTAAACCACCACTACCTCCGAGCTTCTTTTTACCGAGGCAGAAAAGAAGGGCCAGCACGACGTGTTTTTTTTTTTTTTTTTTTTTTTTTTTTGTTTTTTGGCTGGCGCCGTCAGCCATTTTGGTCCGGTAGCCCTGTTACCCGAAGAATGGGGTGTATGGTTTTTTGGTGTTTCAAGTTTGCCTGTGAAAGGTATTGGTGGTTAACTTTCGAGTTGTAACCTTTCTTTCTATCGACGGTCATGCCCAAAGGACCCCCTTAAAATTAACTTGGGACCCTTCTATTTTTTTTCCTAACTAGAAGCACTAGCAGGTGGGTTGTCTATGCAGTTCTGGCAAAATGCCCTCCCCAGATGAGCCCCTCAACGTTGAGGTCGTAACCATTGTTCTTATCGTAGTTCATGCTCAGTGACCCCCCTTAACTCTGAAATTGTTAGTTGTGACCCGTCTTTTTTTCCTATCTAAAACCACTAGCAGGTGGTTTTCTATGCCAAACGCACTACGGAGTTCCAGCAAAATGCTCTCCCCAGATGGGCCCCTAAACATTGAAGTAGTAACCCTTGTTCTTATCCTTGGGAGTTTTTCGGGCTGTTCCCTTGAAATTCGGGACCACTATCCCTTTGTCGGCTGCTTTCAGAAGATTAAAAATGAGGACGACTTGAAACGCGGTTTAAATTTGGCCATCAAAGCTGGCCAGGACTACTGCTCCTGGTCCAGCTGAAGCCAAAAGCCCGCAGCGATAGCAGGCTGGCTTAACTGAATCGACTGCAATTCCTCTATAAGGGAGAAGGTACCGGGTCGGGTCGGCCTTTTGAAATTGGCGTACCAGCCTAAAGGTTTTCCAGTGGACCTGTTTTTGAGGGTCCTGGAGAACTTTGCAGGAAAAAGAGGGCCCGTCTGGCTGTCGACTTCCAGCGCAGTTGGACAATTTTCTGTTTGGCTCATGCTAGCATAGGTGGTAGTGTAGTATATAACTTACTCTGGCAGTTTTCTTAATCCTCCTTCGGCGGACGTTATCGGCTGCCGTCTTCAGTAAGCGCTTCATGTGCCGCTGCGGGTTGGCTGTTAGGCCGTCGCCATCAGCTTGCTGTTGGTGATCGTCGCCATTTTTGTTTGTTGGAAAGCTCGGTAGTTCTGGGGGAGTCGTAACGAAGGTGGGGCTTTCAGCGATAGGACATCTATGATGAGAATACTTCCTATTGGACATCCTGCCGTCGCGGGTCCTTTGCCGTTTGTCATCTTGTTGTACTGCATATCGCTGTGTGGTGTGTTTTCTATTTGCCCCCCTGTGCCCAGTGAACCCCCTTCTTTTTTTTCCTAACTAAAACCACTAGCAGGTGGTTTTCTATGCTAAAAGCACTACGGAGTTCCGGCAAATTGCCCTCCCCAGATGAGCCCCTAAACGTTGAAGTGGTAAGTTTTTTGGTAACCCTTGTTCTTATCCTAGGGCGTGCCCCGTGAGCCCCCTTAACGTTTAATCTGTAACTTGTAATTTGTGACCCTTTTTTTTTTTTTTCCTGACTAAAACCACTAGCAGGTTGTTGTCTATGCAGTTCTGGCAAAATGCCCTCCCCAAATGGCGTTCTACGTAATCCGAGACCTGGTGATGGAGCTGTATCGCTCTCTCTGCGGCGTTGAACTGATCATTTATCAGTCACTGATGGATGATGTGCTACAACACCCAATCCATCCGATCATCGAAGGGGCCACTCACGAAACGCTGAGATCGGTAAGTATACATACACGGCAGCTCAGGCAGCAGTCGTTTCTCAAAGAAGGCGGAAAAAGAAAAGAAAAAAAAGAACAACACCTTTCAAACTTCTAAGGGCATAGGCCTCTGCCATTGGTGTATTCCTGGTTCAAACTCTTGATCTGTTTATCAGTTGTTACAGGCGTGTAATCGCTGTGTACTGTTCAGCCAACAGGCATTGTGTTCTATTGTAATCATTGATAGTGCTGTTTCCATTGAAGTGACAGTGAGTTTTCACTGAATTCGCAGTCAGTTTTCAGTGAACTGTCAGTGAGTTTCACTGAATTGTCAGCGAGTTTCCTGCCAAGCCAACAGGCGTGGACCATTCGGTGTTACGATGAATGTTGCACGGGGAGTGTACTTCTTTTTCTTTTTGTTTTTCCGAGGGAAGAGTACATCTCATTGATGTTGTGTATCTCCTCTAATGATTCTAATCTATCACATGTGCAGATGAACCAACGGGCCAAGCTTGGTTGGTACGCCAATAAACAGTTGAAATTTGAAATACAGACTGAAGAAGTTCGAAACCAGATGTGCAATCTGATGACCAGAAAATCATTCTGAATTAGATGGGGCCGGTGGTCAGTTCAATGACGATTCTCCAGACTGTCGCCCTTTTTTCCCAAAAGAAGAGGGATGTGCCAGACAAGACAGCAGCACAGTTGTTTGAAGGAGGCTGCCTGATTTTTCTTTTTTCGTTTTTGGCAAAGCCAGATGGCCCCTAACCTTTTTCTTTTTTTCTTTTTTTTTTTTAATTTGGAGAATTTTGGACCATTTCTCGATTTATGCGTGTCATCCTTGCGCAGGGGCCATGCTAATCTTCTCTGTATCGTTCCAATTTTAACGGATGTCCCGAAGGACACCCCTAACCTTATTCTAACCATTCCTTTCCGTCAGTATTCCAACTCGTGATCTGTTTATCAACAGCTACGTGTGCGTACCATTCAGCCACATGGGCTCGGTGGGCTGGGTGGGCTTCCTGGATCTTGAACCACTGTGTTTTTTTTTTTTTTTTTTTTTTTTTTAGAAAACTCCATCTATTGGTGGGGAGCATCACCTGCTGGAAAACGGGTCCAGCATCCCTTATACAAATGAGTTTTGAGCCATGTCTNTTTTTTTTTTTGCAAAGGCAGGTAGCCCCTGACCTTAGTGTATCCACTTTTGGGAGGAGGAAGAGAGAATTAGGAGAATACTAAAGGCATACTCACACTGGGACCTATAGAGGTAGAGGACCGGTCACACAGATTCGCTCAAGTCCTAAATGTACCATTCGTGTGCCCATTTGTCGGTGGCCTGTGTAGCCGCTGGGCAAGGGAATATGTGGTCACCTCTGGAGGTGACTGCAAAAATGCCCTATTTATTTTTGCGCCTTTCGTTCACTAAAGTTCTTACACAATTTGTGGACGGTGCCGTGTGACCGGCAAAGTACCAAATCGCCATTGCTCCAGACGGCCAGGGCCTTGTCCCATCTGAAAAGGTACAGCAGTGCGACTGGAACCATGCCCAAAACCTCAAATTGGCCCTTCCCAGATCCATATATTTTGCGGATTTGGGGTCGTAGTGTGAGTATGCCCTAAGAATTTATATTTCTGCTGATCATTTTCAATTTTTCTTTTTTTTTGCATCATTGAACAATTACTCTGATAGATGTTTCACAGTTTCACCAACAAGACATGCCTCACTTTCCCATCTCACCACATCTTCCCCTCAGAATGCCCTGCTCTGCCCGGGTGTGTAGTGGTAGTGTGATTATGGCGTTGGCCGTCAGGGTAGGGCCTGCCTATACCTCAGCCTGCACAACCTTTTTAAACAGGGGAAAAAATAAAAAAAATAAAAACAGTTCACACGAACCTAAGTAGCGCTCTTACCGCGGTAAGAGCACTTGACTTCGGGCCAGTAACCAACCTGGAAATTAGACCAGGATTGTGGTGGCCTGTGGGTAACGTGGCTTCGCGACGTCGTTGACCACTGATGATGGCTGGCTGGCGACCAGCCGAAACACGGCATAGGGTCTCGCTGGCTGACTGGGCTTTACACTGTGCAGGATACTGACGACGGTCGGTATTCCTGTAATTACTGCACGTTGCCTATGGTGGTGGTCCTGGTTGCATGAGAACTACGAAATGTGTTTGCCAGTATGCTATTGCCTTCAAGACTGAACCGTGGGTAGAGCCCCGTTGGAAAAGCAGTCGTGCTGGATGGGAGCAGAGTGAGCGACAACTGCCTATGTGGTGAATGCCTGTGTGTGGTGTTGTGTATGTGTGGGTGTGAGTTGAGGGACACTACAGCCATGTGGATATCTTGACTGGCATGGATCCACCTTTGTACACTGTGCCATGGCTGTACTGGTTAAGAAACTCGGCTATTGAGGCTGAGGTCGCCAGTTTGAATCAGTGCGTGCATGGAGGAGGTCCGAGGCTGATAAAAGTACAGACTGGGCCGGTAGTGAAAGCGCCAGGCCACTTTGAAAAGGCGCAGGTGCAGGCAGTGCCCTACTCGGTAGGTAGCTTCGTCAACTTAGGCTCGCGTGAACTCGTGGTTTAAATCCTTCTCCTGTCCATAGGATTGGAAGGGGCTGAAGATGATCAAAATTAGGAAACATGAAGTGTTCGAATGGTGTGTTTAACTAGGCTGGTCCCCGGGCCGCCCGGCGGCCTGGTCTTCGTCGGGCGCAGGCCGCCGGGCCGGTTGTCACGCCCAGTTGGCCACCGGGCACCCCCAGCGCATCCCTGTAGGTTTTTTTTTTTTTTTTTTTGGGCGCTGGGGGCCTTTTTGCCCCCATGCTAGACT